GTGCCTCATAACTGTTTTATCCGGCAAATTAAATTTTTCTTATTAAAAGTAATTTAATATAGTACCAAAATTTAACAGATCACAAATCGCATCATTTATCAATTGTAAAAATATAAATATAAGTAGATTTTTTTTTTTTTTTTTACATTCTCTCTTCCTCAAATATGAGTAAACGTTCTAATTACCTACCTTCTAATGACCAACTTGCAGCACTCGCTAAAGGACGTGTTCCAAAAAATACTATTAAAAATTCAGAAGGATGGATTAATATTATGAAACAATGGTGGTCAGATGTTAATTATAATGAACCACTAGAAAGTCAAGACAAGGAAACGATTGAACTTCAAGTTTCTCAATTTTTATGCGGTGTAACAACTAAACAAGGTCAATCTTATTCACGAACGTCATTAAAGAATGCTTTATCAGCAATTAATCGGCATCTTCAAAATGTCAAACCTGGTTGGCGATATAACTTACATGATAAGAATGACTTTCCTGACTTGTATGCCCGATTTGATGGTTTACTGAAAGACATGAAAAAAAAGAGACTTGGCGAATCCAAATCTACGGATGGATTAACTACTGAAGAGATTCGGCATTTATTGAATTATGAAATTCTGGATCCAAATACTCCTTTAGGATTATTAAAACGGGTTTTTTTCTGGATTTCTATTTTAGGTGCTGCAAGAGGCGGTGAACACGTCAACTTGCATGTATCACAAGTTGTAGATACATCTGATGGAATTATATTAAAAAAAGCCCAACAAAAAAATGACCAAGGCGGTATAGAAGGAAATCAGGTCGACTTAATTATACCTTTTCCATCTGATCCAGAAGGTACTGCAGGGCCGAATTCTGAAATAAGAAAGTATCTTTCTTTTCGCCCTAAAAATTTTAAAAGTTCAAGTTTTTACCTTTCTGCTTGTCGTAGTCCAGATGGTAAGCATAATACTAATTATTTATGTTATATTGTTTTATTAACATATACAATCAATATTTATTAATAATTTATATTAAAGCTATTGTAAAAGGAAAATGGTATTTAGACAAACCATTGACTGATCGTACAATCCGTTCAATGTTTAAAATGATTTGCATCGAATGTGGAATTAATGTCGAATCAAGAAATATTAGTAATCATTCCGGTCGAAGAACTAGTATTATGGAGTTATTTAGCGTTGGAGTTCCTGAAAATACTGGCCGTGCAATCAGTGGGCATAAATCTTCTGGTGGATACTATGCTTACGCCAAACCTACAGATGAACATAAAAGAGAAGCATTAGGAAATGTTCTTAACAAACTAATTACTAATACATCATCTAATGGAATAATGCAAGATTCTATTAACCACTCTGAACCCGATAATCATGAAATTTCATCATCTGAAGATGATGGAAATTCAAGTGATATGGATTTAAATAATTCCGTACAGGTAATAAATACTTTAATTATAAACAAGTTTTAATTCACTAAACATTAATTTTTAAATTAACAAAAAATGAACTTGCAGAACGAACACGAATTTTATGGAACGTTTCATACGGCAAAAGAAGTTTTAAAAAATAATTCTCACAAAAGATCATCAACTACTGATGAGAACAAACAAATGCATCGTCAAAAAAAGAATGTCACAGTTGTTAACAATCACTATAATAATTGTACATTTAATTATAATTAGGTATATAGCTGTAATGAACAATAAATTTATTCAAAACTGTTAATGCTTTATTCAAAGAATTTATAACGTTTGTGTATCAAGTAGTTTATTCAGAAAAAAAAAAAAAAAATTTACTTCAAGGCTAGCTTTTCATACAACCAGACAAAATTCCTTCCTAAATAAGTCCTTCACGCAACCAGACAATTATTAAAAAAAATTTTCTGTTCAAAAAAGTCCTTTGCACAACATATAATTTTTAAAAAAACAATTTCGCCAATATAAGTCCTTCACGCAACCCAACAATTTTAAAAAAAAATCTCTACCCTAACGAAGTCCTTCGCGTAACTAGACAATTTAAAAAAATTCATGTCCAAATAGTACTTACCATAACTAGACAATAAAAAAAAAATTCCCGCCAAAATAGCCTTTGCGCAACTAGACAATTTAAAAAAAATTCCCTCCTAAGAATACTCTTGCGCAGATATAACATTAAGACAAGTTTTGTTAAAATAAATTTTTTGTGCAACTATAATGATTAATTTAGTAAACGTAAAATTTATATTATTTACAGCATAAATAATATAGATTTTATGTGTATACTATACAACGTATAGTAAATTGCAAATATCATAAAATGCCGTATAACAG